TTTTTTTTTTTTTTTTTTTTGGATCTTCCACTGTCCTGTTGGTTTCCCCCTATTGTGTGCTCTTTTTCCATGTTTTTGCTGACCCCCTTTCTCTGCCTGGTTTGCTCCTTTGCTGTCTCCTTCCTGCATATCTGCTGATATGCACTTCCCCTCCCCAGTGTGCTACATCCATAGGCTGCCCAGGCCATTTGCGACACCTGTGCCACAGATTGGCTGCCCCAATTCTAAATCCTCCTCCAGCATATGGAGTTTTGTAATCTCTTCAGTTTTAATGCTTCTCTTCTGGTGCTTCATGATAGTAAGAACAAAATGGGGATTTGTGGGAAAAGAGAATTTGCAATTTCAACTGTCTAAAGTAAGATCCTACATGAGGAAAGTGCAGGGACCCTAAGATAAGTCACTTGGGCTCTGTACAAGCATATGGTTCTATTCAAATATAGTTTAATGCAGGATCATGGTTTAAAAGAACAACCTGTAATTGTAGGAATTATTTCATAATAGTGGATGGGAGTCAAATTTGTAATTTCTGAAACTTTGAAAATACTTCTTTAATACATCAGTTATTCAAAAAAAATATCAAGCAGTTATTCAGAAAACATATGAAGTGATATAGTATTAAGAATTTTGAAACTGAAGTTTGACAGAGCAATTTTAACACTGTTCTGATGTTTATGGATTGTATACATCAATTCTATAATTTAGGGGTGTGCCAATAAAGGTTTTGTTGGCTGGTACTGATAGCCAATTATTCACCAGGCGTGTCGGTTGATATTTATCTGATAACCAGTTTACAAGAATGCAGCTGAGCCCAGCTTGGGGCCCTGTTCTGGAGGGCAGTATCCTGCAGGTAAGTCTGTGGAGAGGAAGAGGTTTGGGGGGACAGATTGACAGATTTCTGCTGTGGACTTGGGGCTCTTTGCCCTGCTGCCTTTGCACTGGGAGCCGCGTCCTGGCTGTGCCACATCTCCTGCCTGTTTGGCAGCAGTGGCAGTGGAGAGCTGTGCCTCCCACTGCTGGACAAGCAGAAGATGTGGTGTGGCCAGTGTGCAACCCCCAGGGCAAAGGCAACAGGGTGAAAAGCTCACAGAGAGCAGCCTGCCTCTGCCCTTGGCCCCGCTCAGCTCTGTTGGCCTCTGCCCTTTGCTATGCTCAACTTTGCTCCAGGTAAAAGTGTCCCAGCGCTTAAAAATGGTGGTGGTGGCACTTGAACTAAAGCTCATTCAATGAGCTTTAGATAAGTGCCCCGCCCCGCGCCCCCCGGCCATTTTTAAGCACCTGGGTGCAGATCCCCCAGATGAGCTGTCCATGACTCTGTCCTGCTTCTCACTCTGGCCCCCCAGGTCCCATTTGCTGCCCTGCCCCACTCCCTTCCTTACTGTGGGGGCCTCAATCTGTGCCTCCCCATTCTCATTCCCCTCCACAGACTTACCTGCAGGGAGCTGCTCTCCATGCTGCCTGGCTGCATTTGATGCATGTGTACATCTGTGTGCATGCATATGGTGTCTAGGGGCCCTGGCCAGAGAGCGTATTATAGTTATTGGTACATTATGGCTACCCTTGCCAAAAAGAACCAATATCAGCATTGACTTGCTATGGCATTTATATATTGGTGCACCTTTTCTATAATTGTAGGTTGCTTTTGAATTTGAACCTTTTTTTGCTTGGTAATATGCAACACCTAAGGTGTTCTTTTTAATTATGTCAAGATGAGAATTTATGTATAGTGTAACTGCTCCCTCAGTTCAAAATATAGAAATCTATTTTGTGTACGGTAATTAAATATTTTAAACACCTTAAATTAAATAACCTGAAATATTCCACCCCCTCCCCCGCCACTTCTAATGTTCAGTGAGAGCATTTGCATCTTGCAGACTTGCCTTTTTGGTCATACAAAGCCTGGAAAAACAGGGTCCCAAGCTGGTTGGTTTATAGGCACCCCCTCTATACAAATATTAATAATCTTCCATGTGCAGGTTGGGCACAACATGGACCCTGTTCCTTCTGTAACTTTCTTCTGTGTGTTAAGGGTCCAATTCTTGTCCCTCAGCAATGTGAATTTTTAAGACTTAAATCTAGGTCAGTGCAAGTCTTTTCCTGATTTTATAGTTTCTGTGTGTGCACACATGCATGCACGCATGCATACATACCACAGCATACCCCCTTCCTTCCTCCTGCCCCGACCTCCCCCAACATTTAGACCAGGATCTGCTGTGGATCTGTAGAAACCTTGCCTCTTGTCACTGTTGGCTTGTTTCCAATCTCATCCACTACACAGCATCTAATCTTTGCTGTTGAAGAACTGGACAGTAATAATGCAGTTATTTCCTGTAATGCAATGGAGGCTTACAAGGGGCAAGTTAAATTTGTCTGGGTATTTCCTGACTATAGAAAGCATTATTTTACAATCTTAACGTTCTTATGTTGTGTGATTTTTTTGTTTGTTTGTTTGTTTTTGTGTTTTGTTTTTTTGGTAAACTTTTCTGTAAAAATGCTATAAAAAACAGACTTAGTTTAAGCAAGATCACTTCTCAGTATCATGGCCAAGAGAAGTATGTTCATTATGGTAAGAGTTCATGCAAAAACTTATTTCTTTAAATAAATATCATAAGAGGTATTGAAATAAGCAACATCCATTTGCTGTTCATGTGAGGGAAGAGGCGCATCCTAGTATGATCCAGTTTCATATGTATCCATTTACACTGTATCCTTTATAGATCATTCCAGTTGCTAATGGATTTAATAGCAACATAATGTTGCCCAATTTTAATAATTCAGTTTTCAATATGAACAGCGTGTTAAAAAATAAGTAATCCTAGACAGCTTCAAAGGTAATATTATATAGTTACTTATAAAATTGTGTGTATGTAAAGAATACAAAATGGAATGAACAGAGTTGCTTAAAATTTTTTAGTGGTATTTAGTTCATGGCTTGCCAAAGCCCTGCTTTTCCACCATAAATACCCTTGAATTTTGGCCATGGGTAGAAGGCCCATGGCCAAGAAGAAAAGAAGGCTTAGACTTTGGGGCTGTTAAACTGTAGTAGGTGTATTAAAAATATGATGACATTGTCTGGTTTGCATGTGAAATATGATTTTTACCATTAAATCTCAGTTAAATCATAATTCATAAAAAATTGAGTGATTTATTGTTTATGCGACCAGCTGCATGCATGGTTGGGATACTTAGATAAGCTTTCAAATGCCTTGAAGACCTTCTCTCTCCCTCCTTTTTCTACCCAATGGGTAGGGAGGGGCAAATTTAATTGAGGATCCTTCCATAGTCTGTATTTTCTGATACTTTCCAGATGTAAGCCGGTGAAGTTTATAGGATATAACATTGTTGCTTCTGTAAACCCATTAACACATTGGTTTGGTTTTTAAGAACAGCAGAAACTTGAATTTCAAAATTATTCAATCCACACCTGTATTTTGAGGGGAAAGGGAGAGGCAAACTTTACTGTCCTGTCTTTGTCTTATTTCTTTTTTGTAATGGAATGAAATGCAAAAATGTCTAATTGTGTATGTACTCTAATGCAGCATTTGACGATAATTTGCTTTCACTTGCTGTTGATACCATCAGCTGAAACTGCTTTTTTCATACTGTGCATTATTAGACTATCCAGTTTCCTTTACCAAAAAAAAGAACATTCCACAACTCATCACATTCTTTTATAATTTATAACAATGTTTTTCTTTCTTCCTTAACCTTATTTACCACTGTCTTTACAATAACTTGCTCTCTAACTTTTTCCATTTTCTCTCTTCATTTTTTTTCATACAGTGTTGTTACAGATCTTATAGCAGTCGGTTTAAAGGTAGGAATCTTTTTCTATCCTTTCATATGCGCTTGTTACCCTCCTTATTTATAACACATTTTATTTCTTGCTGATGTCATATTGATGTTCATATACATCATGTTTTATTGTGCTACTTACGTCTATGCAATCAGTGGTCCTCTACCTTTATTTCAGCCTTCGGTAACTTTATAGTGAACAGTGCCCATCGATTAATCTTTTGTTCTTTACAAGCCTGTGTGGATTTTTTTCCGACTAAATGTCATGCAGTTCTATTTGTTGGAGATTAACTTTAGGGTTATGATGCATATTAGTATTTCTGTTTCCCTGGTCTTAGTATAGAAACAAGCTATTGCTGGTTTTCATATTTAATCTACCAAAATGTAATGGGGATGCTTGATGTATATATTGTTTCTAGTTGAGACGTATTATGTGTGTGTGTAAAATATATTGTGTGTGTATATAATATTTTTTCCTGCAAATTTGGTTCTCAGACCCATTTAACATTTAAGTCTTGTGCAGGTTTTAGTAAGAAACTGGAGTCAAATATTTTAAAAAGTCTAGTTTATTATCAGTGTTACCAGTAGGATTCCTTTTGCCAGAGACCCCCAAGGATTTATGCAGCCTCTCATCCAATTTGCTATCAAGTGAACTTTAATAGTAATCCCTAATCACTATTACAAGTTTCCTCCCTGTAATACAACCTGACAAGTGGCTCCTTTTTAGATGTTACAGCAGCGACTTTTGGTACTGGCTTCAGGTCTTCTGCTGGGTGTGTGAGATGTTTGTTTCTGGTTTTTCTGCAGTTCAAGCAGAAATTCCACGACTGTCCCTCATCTCCCTAGAGTAACATCATGAACACAACTGTCCCTTTGTTTGTCTGTTACTTTTATAACTTTCTCATCCCAAACTGGCCAGTCCTCAAGTTCCTTACCTCATCTTTTTAGACAAGGAACTCCAATCCTATTCAGCTGTTAGTTTCATGCCTTTTTAGGGAAACTGATGTACCTGGTTCACCCATGGTACCAGTCACAGCACTCACTTTTTCCCACTGCCTTATAAGGTACTCTGTACTATTTTATTGCTTAGTTCTAGGAAGGCCTAGAAGTTATGCTAAGAGCCTTAGCATAACTAAGTTTGCCCGCTACAATCAGCATTACTTTTGTTTTGTGGTATTAGCTATAGGCCTGGGCCTCATTGGTTAGGGACAGAAATTCCACATAAATTGCATAAGGGATCACTTCACATTTGTAACACAACAGAAGCTCAGTGCACATAGTGTCTTCAAAATGGCCAAAGCTGGTTTAAGATGAACCTGGATGGATATAATATCAGACTTAACTGATTTTAGGTTAAATTGGTTTATTAAACTTCTGTCTGACATCCCTTCGAAATTCAAATGAGCTCACAGTCGCTCAACATCCCGCACCTCCCCTACAAAATTCCCCCTCACAGGGTGGGCAGGCTAGCCTTGGCCCAAGCTGTCTGCTCTAGCGCTTCTGGCCTGGGCCGCTGCAGGCATGTGGCTACATTTCCAGAATCAAAAGTGACTGTCTGTTCACTTGCTTAGTGACTCAATCTGCACAGTTTAGACTAACCTACAAAAATTGAATTAATTCAGCCTTGGGCTTCTTGACTGTCTGTACTTAGGTATTGTGCTCAACATTACTCATCTTATACAGTTGTGTGGGACTAAGTTATGCATCTGCATATCGACATATGACAAAATTAAGACTGCTTCATGATGTAATATTGAATGTGTAGATTGTATGAACCTTTCTGGGTAGGGCAGGATATGAGCACACAAATAAGCATTTAGATAAACCTTTTTAGGTATTTGGAAGGGAACATTCACTTGCCTTGAGATTAGCCACAGTAGATAAAAAGTGGGATTATTTTCCTAAAAAATGTATTCTAGCTTGCTTTCTTCCTTCTCAAATTAAAATTATTACAAAGCTACTAGCTAAGCATGAGTAAAAAGCTAGTTTTAGTTCTAGTAAGCAGGCTTGAGGTGTTACACTGGAGGCATAATAATACATGTTAAAGTGTCTAAAACCTTTCGGGTAACAGGTTTATTGAATACAGGATCAATTTAGAGACTATAGTAGAAAGAGAAACTGTCACTTTCATTTTTATTTTTTGAGATGTAGCTTGAAGAGGAGGCCCTGCTTCTGTCATGACATCTTTTCAGTTTCAGACAAAGTAGGGGGAATTGATATAGTTAAGTGCCAGCCTTATAAACCAGTGGCTCTGAACCAGGGTACTACAAGACATTGTCAGGGGTTGCTGCAATGCAGGTACTGTTACTGGGATAGCACTGGCTATTTAAAACTGCCCCACACGCTCCTCCTACATTAGGACTGTCTGATTAACCTGAAGCAGGCAGAAGCTGACTGATGCTGTAGCTTAGCCCTTCCTGTCTGGTGCCACCCCTCCACCTCCCACATGTTCCTTCCAGAAACAGAGGTGTGCAGGACAGTTCCACCCCCGTGCCTGTTTTGGGGATCGGGTGGACAGGGAAGGGCTATGGAGCATAATGCAACCCCTATCTGTGTTCAGAGACTCTTAACATAGGAGGGGCATACTTATGTGCCACAGCTCTTCCCAGGCTTGCTGTGCAGTAGTAGGCCTGGGGCACTTTCACCTGGAGGCAGCAGAACCTGGTTGACAAAGTGTTGAGGTAAGTTGAGGCAACACCAACAATGGTTATCAATTGGGGTACTGCCACAATCAAAACAAATGGTGGAGGGATGCCCTGCCCTGAACAGGTTGATAACCGTTGTTCTAAACTAAACATAATTGGGTTAGGATAGCTTTTGCTTTCATTCTTTAAAGGAAAAAAAAGCAACAAAATAACCTGTCCTGGGTGAGAGTTTTTTGCAGTTTAAATGATTCAAAGGATATGAAAATACTTAATGGCAACTTTTATTGAAGTTTGGATGATGAACTGGGAAATGTGTTTTCTGCTCTTGGCTCTACAACTGACTGACTTTGTGACTTGGGATAAGGAAATTTTTTCCTCCATTTCCTAATCTGTGAAATGGGGATAATAATTTTCAATATCTAGAATAAATTAAGCTGTTTAATATTAGTAAGACTCCTTAAGATACACAGAAGAAAGGTACTGTAGGAGCAAGTACCTATATAATTATACTTTTTCCCCCTTTCAGTCATTTCTGTGTTCTGTGTGTGACACATCTGTCCAGTAGAAGGAATAACATAAACTTAAAAAGAAATGTAACAGGAAAATAAAGCTTTCAAGTAACATCTTTACTAGTGTATACTGTGCTTGATTATACTCAAGTTTTCTTTAGATATCCCAATATTTGTAAAAATATTATATAAAAAGCCACCTAAAGGAAGATTCTGTGTCAGATGTAGTTCCCGTACGGCCAAATTTTTAAATATTCTTACTTTTAAAAGGTGTTTCACTTATGCCATAAACATATGTTCTAAATATAATTATCATTACTCATCTTAGTAGACTGCAGGAGCTGATTTAAAAATTAACAGTAATGTGTGTTATAGAATTATTCCATCCATTCCTTTTGAGGTAGTGAGAACACCCTCTTGGTTCTTTATTAAGACCTTCCTCTAGCAAATTAAATGCAAAGTGCTGCTAAAAGGCTAGATTTACTTGAAACAACTTCTATAACTTGTCTGATTTATCTTCTATTGAAATATTAGGTCATTAAAAAAATATTAATCTAAATATTGCATGGGGGATGTGCAAAAAACCCCAACACCCACCCTTTTCAGTAGGGCTGAATAGTTAGTAATATAAAGCTGATATAGAAGGTTCATCTTTTTTTTTTTTTTAGATAAATGCTTCACTTCCACAGACCTTTACATCTGTTTAATTGGACATGATGATGCTACTTCTTGAGATGGTTGCCCTGTGCATAATTAATCTACAACTGGTTTTGTAACTAAAGGATACATTAACACTTGATTTTAATATAAATTACAAACCTTAATGGCATTTTAACCTGTGGAATCTAAACCTTATGTAGTAAGCACATAAGTTTAACATGAATTACAGACTTGATGCAGAAGATAATGTTGGCGTTTTCATTTTGAATGATCAGAACTTTCTTTCCTTATGAACAAAAATACATGCTGTATAAAGATGCCATCTGCCCATCCAGCTTCCAGGCTTGCTGTTCATGGTAATTCTTTTAAGATACAGTGTGGTTTTAGTCTGAAAGTCTGTAAAATGTCAAATTGTTTCTATACCTATATCAATTAGGTAAACATGTACAAATATCTAAGAAAGGCATTGGGGTGACACTGCTGACTCCGGAAATATAATCCAGAATACCATATTGTAATGCACCAGTGTAGCACTCTTTTCAGGTGTGTATTACATTACTATAAAAATGGTACACTTTGTAATTGCATCTTCAGTTTTCTGTCTGCTTACAATTTGAATAAGGCTATAGTTGGTCTCCACAGTTTTTAGTTAGTGCAGTTATGTTGGTGTAAGGTAGCTTGCTGTTGACAGTATCTTGGCTAAAAGTTCTTTTGGTGCACAACATTTGTTTGGCTATGATGACTCTACCTTGGAAATATGAATAAGCTGCTTTTGGGTCTGAAGTAAACAGAAATGACTGAATATGTTCAAGGAGTGTTTGTTAAACAAGTGCTTTTAACACTTTTAACTGCCTCTCTAAGAGGAATAGGGCAGTTTATGAAAAATCATACAGCACAGGTACTGGAGTTAGTGTTGTAATACCCTGAGTTTAAAAAGGGCAGTCAAAGGTGTAAGCTTTAGAAAACCATTAAGCTTCAAGACATGATTTCAAAGTATTGGCTTAATTTTTGTGAAAGCTAAATTAGTGGGCACAGTGTTGTTTAAATCTTCAGTGAGAATTATAGAAATAGCCTCTTAGTACTTTAATTTGTCTGTATTCTGGCATGTGATCCTGACTGTCAAATTATGAGAGAGTTAAGACGTGGGACACACAAAGTATGCTTAAAATAAAAGATCTCAGATGCATGTAACAGATTTTTTTTCAGTA